TAATTAAAGGGGGATAGGTTTATTTTCAGCGCATGGTTTCAGAGATTTTGTCCAAGTTCAGAAAACCTATTTGCTCTTGCCTAAAGATGTGGCAGAGCATCTTGTCAGAAGGGTGTGATAGAGCAAAAGTGTTTATCTCAAGGCACCCAGGAATCTAGTGAGAGATCAAAAGTACAATCCAACCACACTCTACCAGCCCATAGTTACTACATAATTAATAAACAATTATTGGATTAATACACTGATTGGGTTGCAGGTCTCATAATCTAATAATATTGCTTCTGAACATTTTTGCATTGTCATACTAATGAGTTTCTGAGGGACACCTCATACTCTAAACAATAATAGGCATATCCCAACTGACTTATTTCCTCTAGCCATGGTCCAAATGCCTACATTTACTTCACAGTAGCTCATTTAAGTTATTAATCCATCCAATGCATCATTCCATGGATGAAGTTAGAATTTTCATAATCTAATCATCTTACTGCTGAAAAATGACTATTGTCAAAAATTTTTAAATTAACAAATGCTGGAAACAATGTTGGTAAAAGGAACACTTTTACATTATTGGTAGAAACACAAATTAGTACAGCCACTATGGAAAAGAACATAAAAAAACTAAAAACTACCAGAGAATCCAGCTATTCTACTCCTGGGTATGTAGCCAAAGGAATCAAAGTCAGCATACTATAGAGATTCCTGCACCCCCATGTTTATCATTTTACTATTAAAAATAATCAAATTATAGAATCAGCCAAGGCTTCCATTGGTGGATAATGGATAAAACAAATATGGTACATATACACACAATGGAGTATTATTGAATGATGTAGAACAAAATCATATCATTTGCAGAAAAACATGAATTGAACTGCATGGATGAATGCTGAAAGAAAGTATGATGTGTGTGTGTGTGTGTGTGTGTGTGTGTGTGTATAAATTTTATTCATCCATGAAAAATAATAAAATTATTTCAACAGGAAGCAAATGAATGGCAATTATGTTAAACAAAATCAGTCAAACTCAGAAAGTCAAGAGTCGTATGATTTTGCTCATATTCAGAAGCTAGAAATAACAAAGGAAAACAAAAGTGGGGGTGGATCTCTTGCAAATCAAAGGGAGATCATTAGAGGAAAGCAATCAGGATTGGGGGCAAAAGAAGGAGGAGGGACGTGTTGGGGAGTGATATTGGCCCAATCATATTGTTGTATTTTATGCATGTACAAATGCATAACAATCAGTTCCATCATTATGTACAACTATAATGAACCAACATATGATGTGGGAAATAAAATTAATGTTAATTAGAGATCTCCATGTTACCATTGTTACTATGGAAATAAGGTATAATTTCAAACCCTGAATATTTTTGAGAGATTTATATATTGTTTAGAAGTGAATCCAGTTAGCATGCGAAGTTGAGTGTGCAAAAATGTTTTTGAGTTGTTAGGTATTTTAAAAGGAAGCTAAATCACACAAGATCTAAAACAACAGAGGATATAGGTACATTGTGGTAAAACTGTCTCACATAAACCATTCACATCTGTATAATCATCTCTTTTTTGAGTCAAATTTATCAAAAATTTTACTGGCCAAAGAAGGGAGGGAGTTAGAGTCAACTTGACTTTTGTGCTTGTGCTTTGTGAATTTATAGGAGAATATAGTTCTCTGATTATTTTTTTGTGTGTTTCTGAGCTAAGAGTATTTAGTTTCTGCTAAAAAGAATGAGATCAAAGGAAAGCTTTTGAAAAACTTATTTATTCTATCTTTCTATATTTTCCAGGAAATCAATATAATTCAACATGTGAAAAAATTACTTAAAAGTTTTCACTCACCAACTTTTCTTTCCTTCTCCAGGTTGTTCCTTTTGGTCACAATTACAAATATTCCATATTACTCTTTTTAATTTGAGCTCATTGGAGTTTGATAATACTGCCTAAATGAGCATTAACTATTGAAAGACCACCTACACTCCAAACATTCTCATTTCACAAGGTCAAAACATTTGTATCAATATTATTGTTAAGTTTTAGTTTTTAATCTATCCATGACATAGTTCTTGTACCACATGGAAGTCTTTATCAATTTGTCATGATAGTCAAAATCCATAAACTATCTGCAAGAAAATTAGAGTACTATATTTTCCATGACTTAAATTAATTTTTCTTTCATGTGCCCTCTACTTAAATAATAGAAAATTTTACCTCCAAACATTCTTAGAATTTCCCTCCTTTTCATTCTCTTACTCTTTGTCACAATTCCAAAAGTTTTAAGCAGCAGTAGTATATTTAATGTAATGGGGTGGTTCCCCAGTTATTTTCCCTTATGTTTCTGAAAAGTCTACTTCACAGATCAGTCAGTACCTTCGTTTGGGTAATCCCTCCTGGTCTTACTGTGACATGCCTGGAAAAGAAAAAAAATATATATTTAAGGTTGTCATTTACATACCATAAAGTGTTTTATTTTCTTTCCTTTTTTTTTTCCTGGAGTCTTTCCTCTCTTCGCAGACTTTATTAGGAAATTCAAAGTCTATAGTGACTACATTGTTGTCATCATTATCTCCAAATGCTTTTCACTTTACTGTGTTTTTAATCCCCATTTTCTGTCAATGAACTTTTAAAATTTTACCATGTGAAATCTACTTTATTTTTGTATGGATAATTATTTCCTCTACCAAATATTCTGAATTGTTGCTTTACTTTTCCCATTAACTTTTCTTGTAAATGTTCCTTTAGAAATATTCCTTAGGTTCACAGATTTTATGTCTTATTTTATTACCATAATTTTTCAGATACTCTAGATTCATGGATATAATTTTTTCTTTGACCAAAAAACTGTTTATAAAATGCATTATTTTTATAAAATTAATATGACAAATGTCCAAGTGTTTGTTGTTGCTGTTTATTGAAATATTTTCATGTTAGATTCTTGGGTTTTTTTATAATGATGATATACATTTTAGACTACACCTCAGAGATTTTTTCTTAGTATTCTTTGTGGACTAATATGAAATTACTTAAAAAATTCTTTGACTTTCATTAAAAGAGAAAGAACAGTAGCTGTTGATGAAACAATGAATTTAAGATATAACTAAACTCTTAAGATATAACTATATAACTCTTCCTTTTAAATTACATTTTTTTGCTATATCTTTGTTTGCTTATTTGGGGCTGTTAGATTAATGAAGCCTGAGATGTTTGTGTTACACAAACCCTCCTTTATCAAATTTTAGCATTTATCAATTTGATGCATTTTTGCACTTGGAAATTATACCCTCCAATTTTAATTCTGAAGAACAGCCTATTCATCCTCTGATAGCCTACTATTTCACTTGTTTGGTTTATTTTCAATTATATAAGCAGTGTTATATCAAGGTAGATTTTTTTTCTTTAATTCTTTTAAATTATGTTTAATTTAACACAGAATTATTCTATAAAGTTGTTGGTTTACTGAAATTAATGTATATTACATGAACTGTAAGATAATGAACGGAAGAAAGGTAGAGAAGGTTGGAGCCTTAGAAGGAGCAATCTATCTGTTGATTATCATCTTCATAATGCTTTCCTTGCTTGTATTTGACCTGGCAAATGTAAACTGTGTTGCTATCTAATCCTTACACCTGAAGACCATTTATTTCTCATGAAAATTACCAACTTCCTGAAAATTTTTGGCTTCATGTTCTATAATCTGAATGATTGTGTGATGTTTTGTTATGACCTAAATTCTAATGTTCATATGATAGCTATCGTCCAAAAAAAAATAAGATTTTATATAATGCATGTTTTATGACAGTGTTATAAAGTGGAGGAAAGAACAAAACATCTCAAAAAACGTAATAAAATGCAATTAAAATAATTGTGATAAAAAAATACAATGACTCACAGCAACTCTAGAGATATCATTACTTCCAACTTGCAACCTGTGTTGCTTCTCTTTTCTTACCTCTGTCTTGCTTATTTTTGTTGCATTTTTATCTATATATTTACCCCTCTTTCTTTATGTGTGTGTGTGTGTGTGTATTTTTTGCAGAAAATAGTAGTAGTCTTTCTTTCTATTAAAGAATCATTTTATTTCCACTTTTTAATTTTTCTTGATATCACTTGTACACTAACTATATAGTTTAGGTATTTAATATAAGAGCAGTGGACATATTTTTTTCTTCTTAATGTACCTTTATGTAAATAACACTACCTTCCATGGCTGTTCCTTTTAAACATAGCATACAATTTTAATCAAATAAGGCCTATGTGATGAGATAAAGTGAAGTGGATAATGTTGGTGTTATGCTACATCATTAGGCTACGAATAAGACTTACGTCAACACAAGCACTATGATAATAGTCTATTTGATAACAGAGAGGTTTAGTAAGCAGCTAGAGAGAGTAGGAAGAATCTACAGTATTGATACCTTAGATAAAGGAATGACACACATCTTAGTCAGGTTAAAAAAGAATGGCACAAGACTTCATCATACTACTTAGAACAATCCTAGGGTTCATAATATACAGTAATTTTAATCAAATAAAAGTGTTATACCTCCTTAATTATTTAAGCAAATATATTTTCAATAATTACTATATTCTGGGTTGTGTAGTGGAGTAGGTACAATGCTATAACATTGTGAATAAGAAGCATTACTTATGATGCTTGTACCATTATGAGGAAGATAGATGCTATGGTTTGGACATAGCTAGTACTCCCCCCCACCCCGCCCGCCGCCAAATATTCACGAGCTGGAAGCTTGGATTCCCAATTTAGTGAGGTTGAGATGTGGTTGAATCTTTAAGAAGTGCATCTAGTGCAAATGATTAGGTCACTGGGGGGTACCATTCTTGGAAGTCCCATGCAGTTGTCACGGGACCCTATTAAGTTTCATAAAAACAGGTTGTTATGAAAATAATAATGGTGGATCCTTGATCCCTCTGGCTTTCTGTCTTGTTATGTAATTGGTCTCAGTTGGGCTCTTACATTATGATGTCATCTTCCATACTGAGACACAAGCAAGGGGGCCAATACCAGAGGCCAAACAGATGGGACTATTCCATCATGGACCTTCAGAATCACAAACTGAGCTAAGTAAATCTTTTCTTTATAAACCACCTAGTGTCAGGTCAATTCTATATTGTTTGAAAAGGAAAGAATAATAATACAGTAATCCAAAGTGTATAAAAATGAGAATGAATGAACAATGAAATAAAAAAATAGCTTGCCATGTTCAAAGACTTCATTTTAAGGGGACTCTTTTGTTATTGTCTGTAGGCTTTCAAATTAGCCTTGTTTGTACTTGCATAACCACATTAAGACCTTATAATTTATAGTTAATTTATATTTTTAAAAATTTGAAATTCTTCTCTATTATGAAATAATTTCTAAAGTATTGTTAGTTAGTGCTACTTATTTTTGAAGGAAATGTTTAAAATCCATTATATTCTAACTGATTACATAGTTTCCCTTTGTCTGTGGTTCTATGTTACCAACCAATTTTCAGTTGACCATAATCAACAGCAGTCTAAAAATCTTAAAAAGGGAAATTCCCAGAAATAAATAGTTCATAAGTTTCTAAATGCACATTTTTCTAAGTAGTATGATGAAATCTTGCCATTCTACTTTGTCCTGACTAAGAGGTGTTTCATTCATTTATCTACATCTTGCAGATTCTTCTGACCCACTATTCACTTACTAGCTTTCTCTGATATCAAATTATGTATATCACAGTGCTTGTGTTCAAGTAAGTCTTATTAATAGCATAATGATATACCACAGCACAAATATCATTCACTTCACTATCTCATCACACAGGCCTTAATATACAGGACGGTGGACATACATTTTTCTTTGGAATGATGTATCATTTCACATCTTCACTAGATAAAGGGTTTGTATATAAGATAGTCTGAGACATAGAAATCACAGTTACATTTTTATTATGATATTCCATCATTATTGTTATATTTTATCATTAGAATCATTAATCTAGTCGGGCATGGTGGCACACTTCTGTAATTCCAGCACTTTGGGAGACTGAGGCAAAAGCATAACATGCTCAAAGCAAGCCTCAGCAATTTAGCAAGGCCTTAAGCAACAGTGAGAGACCCTGTCTCAGAAGAAAAAAAATAAAAAGACTGGGAATTCAGCTCAGCAGTAAAGCACCCTTGGTTTCAATTCTGGAAAAAATACTGATATCATAATGCCGTTAATTTATGAATTAAATATTATCATTTATAGGTATATATGTAGGATGAAACAATATAGTGTCCATTTCTATCCATGGATTGAGGCATCCATTGTGGATATTGGGACATATCTTCCAGGGTTAAAGGGGAGCTACTGAACTTTGAGAAAATCTTTAAACTTTTTGGTTTTCAGTTTAAAATATTGTCTCATATAGTTATATTTACATTTGAATTTGATATAAAAATATGGGTTACTTCATCTATCTTTAGCATAAAGATTTAAAAATACTTCTAAAAAATATGATCATAATTTCATCAAGAGAATCAAGGGGTTATGCTTTTCTTTTTTTAAATTTGCTCTAATTAGTTATGCATGACAGTACAATGCATTTTGACACACCATAAATAAATGGAGTATAACTTCTCATTCTTCTGGTTGTACATGATGCAGAATCACACTGATTGTGTAATCATATATCTACATAGGGCAATAATGTCCAATTCATTATACTATCTTTCCTACCCCCATAGTCCCTCCTCTCCTTACTCTCCTCTGCCTAATACACAGTAATTCTATTTTTTCTTAAGCACATCCATATTACCAATTAGCTTCCATTTATGAGAGAACACATTCAGCCATTGGGTTTTGAGTCTGGCTTATTTCGCTTAGAATGATATGCTCCAGCTCTATCTATTTACTGGCAAATGCCATAATTTCATTCTTTTTTAAGGTTAAGTAATATTCAAAATTTTATTTTTAATCTGGTGACTATATAAGAACAGATAATGTAAAATCATACATATATTCTTATAATTTTGAGTATGAAACAAATTTTTATAAATCAAATAGTGTTAATTAATTGGAATAAATTTTATATGTAATATTAATGTCTAATCACTCTTGAAAATATGTTGTTTAAAATTATTAATATTATTATTAATTTTATCAGCCTGATAGAAAATTTTAAATTCTTGTGTTATGAACTGAATGCATGTGTTCTCCCTCCTCTGCAATTCATATGTTAATCCTTAATCTCCAGTGTGACTATATTTGTAGTTAAGAAGTAGTGAAGTTTCAGTGAGGCATAGGGTGAGAAAAGATGCCAGAGAAGAATCTCTTTCTCATTCTCCTTTCCTTTTTCAGCATAAACAGAAGAGATAATGTGAAGGAAAACAGATAACGACAGTCCAGAAGAAGACACTAAACAGAGAGCAACCCTTCAGCAACCTTGATCTTAGACTTCCAAACTCAACTACCTACCATGAGAAAATAAGTTACTGTATTTTATGCCACTCAGATCATGATATTTTGTTTTGGCAGCCTAAACAAATAAATATAATTTTAAAGATATTTGTATTGATACAGAAATTAATTATTAACATTTATTCTAGAATTTTATATAGCTTGGTAAATATTTTTTTCTATTAGGAAATGCACATTAGAGACTTATTTATTGATCTGAACATAAAAACAATTATTTAAGTTATATATCAATGCTATGAATAAATAAAAATACATAGGATTGTGATTATAAATTTATCTTTGTCTAGACAAATGATGGTAGGTACTGAGCACAATAAAATGGCATTGGGGGAAAATCTGAAATATTATTTGTATAAATTCAATAATCTATGCCAAAAATATTTAGAACCTGACCTTAAAGAAGTGGATAGGAAATGATGGGTTTGAGTAGTTTTGGAGCATTGATAGAGTATATTTTTGTTGATGATTTGTCAATAGGGTTTTAGTGGAGTTAAGATAACCAAAAGTCTAGAGCAATTTTAAAATTTTAAAATAGAACAAGAAATAGAAATAGGAAGCAGGTTTAACCTTATATATCAAAGACAAAATAATAATGTCTGGGCATGTGGAAAGTGTAGATGCACTGAAGTGAGTCAAAGAATGCTGGTAGAAAAACCTCAGAGCAAATTAAAGAAAGAAAACCCTGTGCATGTACAAATTATGAGCCGTGTTGTACTTTGTTAAAAAGCACCTTTAAAAACTGTTATAAATGGAGAATATTCAGTAAAGCACAATATAAAACCTCATTTGTAAAAGGATGGAGATCACAAAAGACTGACAAAATTATTTCTATTCTATACAAGATAACCTATGGAGAAAGTGATTATTTGCAATTATATAGAGGTTTCTTTTAAAGATTCTCTCTTCAAAAGTTCTGAAGGAAATAAAAGAAAGGGGTTTCTTTGACAGCAGATAAAATGTCCATTGTATGAGACATACATATTTTCTTTGAAGACTTTTTTTCTGCCATGATGATCAGACAAATGTTTTACATAATAGCTTGGAGAAGGATTTCTAGAAAGTAATTACTTTTTTGAACAATATTAAACTCTGTAGCTAGTGATATAAAAGGCTATTTTGAATTTTAAATATAAAATTCTTCCAGGTACACATAATCTAATTGCAGGGATTTCTTTCTTTATGTTTTAGTGTTATGCGTAACTTGCAAATATAAGGGATTTCTATAAAATCACTTAGGGCTGAAACAACCTATTGCTCACTTATGAAAATAGAAATTTGAAAAACAAATACAGGAATAACCATTATTAATATTGTAAAAAATTGATTCAAAATTGATTAGTTTGCACTGTTGGTTTAGTAATAGAGAAGTAAGAATATGTCTTTACACTTTTTAATTATTTAAAGTTAGAGTAAAACACTAGCATAAAATGCATTGCATATTTATAGACATAAATGTCACCTAGAAACTTTTTGAGTGTCTATTTGCAGCCATAAGAATGAGTAAAATTAAATTTCATAGTAAGGCAGTGCAAAAAATAATAATATTCCAGCCTCATTCTAAATGTAGCAAGGAGTCAAGAGTTGAAAAGTCAGAAAGACTAATAATACTGTAATTATTTTTGCCTTGAATATAAATTCTTCTGTTCTCCCTATTCATTCTGATTTTATAAGCAGCATTCATTATTTTTAGGAGAAAATAAGAAACAGCAGCTAGTTGTTGTATGTGCCACAGTTAGTAATAATTTCTTAGTTCTTCCTCTATTTAAATAGTTTTGTTAATTTAATATCACAAAATCTTGTGTGATTTTGGATTAATTATAGTACCTGAATTATTATAGGGCCTCATTTTTATAAATGAGTTTATGTATTTAAAGTGTGTAATGGATATTAAAGTACATATCAACCCTCAATATAGCAGTTATTGGTAATTATTGACATTAAAATTAGCATAGTCTGAACCAGTGTATCAACAATTGATGCTGGTTGTGGAAAATCACATGTATATATTTAGCAGTTGCCACATGAATCATCTCTAATAGTTCCTCAAAACTGACCAGCAGTCTTATCGCCCTTCACTATGTGTGCTTCCCCACATTCTCAGTATCCATTTTTGCACCATCTGTTTTCCCCTCAAACTTCCAATACTTCTTATCACTTCTCATTCTCAGTGCACAATATTGTCTTCTTTTCCCCTAAAATATAGATATTATAATATGTATTTTCATAGAAATTGATAACACATATAAATTTAGTCAGATAGTAATGACCTCTTCCCAGCACCAGATGTATCAAACCATTTACATCTCATTCACACTGTGCTTTCCTTTCTGTGTCCCTTAACTCATGTCAGAGGCTATCCCTTATTCATGAGTTTTGGATTCATCTTCCTTAACCTTCACAAGGGCATGCAATGCTGTAAATACAGAACCCTTTCCTGAATAAACTTTTGCCTCAATACTAGAGTAAAGACACCGACAAATTTCAAACATTGTATATCCTTCTAAACATGCAGAAGCACAATGCAGTTTAAATCACTTCTCTGAATGTTTCCAAATTTTAGGGAGCATAGTCAAGGTTCAGAAAATTTCCAGCACTTGAAGGCTTAGTCTGGATGGGGGCCAGAGGTTGGTCTTCTTTCACCTTTATTGGACTAGTGGATATATAACTACTTTCTCATGACGCTTCAGGGTCACAGTTTCAGATTTCTTCTAATGGATTCTTGGCTTATACTTACAAACTATTCTAGCATTATATTACTTTAAAAATATGTTGAAACATATCAGTGCTGAAAAATATTACAGCTTTGTCAACCTGTATAAACTTTCCAGCCTCCCAACCTCATTGCTCCACTCTTGTTTTTTTATTCAGGTTTTCTTAAGGCCAAATACTAATTGAAGACAACAGGACTCTTTGTGAGTTCTTAAATTTAATTAATTTTTGGAGTTGAAGTTAATTAATGTATTGAACTGGCTAATATACTGAATTGAAAAACAAAATAATTATTATCAAAATATGCACATTTAAACAATAAGAGTAAAGTTCTATCAACCAATAGTTCTATTTCATTGCAAAAATAGAAGTAATTAAAACTAGTTTCCCTACAGAGACTCTAATACTAAACGAAAAGACTACTTTTGCATTCTTTTCAAGTTTTCAATTAATTATATCAGAGATTGCAAACTAAAATATCAAGAAAACAAGTTAAGCAATATAAATGAATTAAATGAGTTTCGAGATTGTTCTAGCCAGATTTCTCTCTGCTTTGGCCAAAGAATCTTATAAGAACAATGTTAGAGGGGGAAAAGTTTATTTGGGGGCTCATGGTTTCAGAAGTCTTAGTTCACAGATGGCCAACTCCATGGTGGAAGAGTGTGGTGGAAGAAATCAGAACAGGATATGAATGGAGCCAAGAAGCAAAAAGAGAATTCTCCTCATCATGGACAAAATATAAATCCCCAGGGCAGGCCCCAGGGACCCACTTCCTCCAGCAATACCTTACCTGTCTACAGGTATCACCTAATTAATCCCTATCAGGGGATTAATGCACTAATTATGTTCAGACTTTCATGCCTCAGTCATTTCACCTCTGAGATTGCATTATCTCATTGTGGGGAAACCATCTCTAAACCATAGCAGAGGTTATTTTTTAATCTTTATTATTTTCATATTTTATTGTGGCAAAATATACGAACATACTTATGTGATATAATATGATGATTCTCTTTATATATTGTGTAATCACGAAATCAGGGTATTAGTAAACTCATGCAAAACCTTCTAGCTATTTATTACTGAGCATATGCCTAGTCTAATGTATGCAACCAATAATAGATTATTAACTGATTGTAACCGTAAAACAAGTAGAGATGGTTTTATTGCTTAATATATGGGAAGACTTCATTCTTTCCATTTCCATTTTAGGATGTTTTATTGAGGATCGAACTCTTGGAGCTTTTGAAACATCATTTGTTAATTAAAGCAATAGTTACATACCCTAAAAAATGATGAGGGAGGACTTGGGCTTTGGGGGTGAATTAATAAGTCAAAAAATATTTTCCTTTGGACTTCTGTTTAGAATTGAAGTTATCTATGAGACACCTGTGAGACCAAAGATATCTATGAGACCAAACTTATTGTTAAACTGCTGTCTTTTAACTATGTCAGTCACTCATTTATAGATGTTTTAACTTATGTTACAGATATTCACTGTATAGAAAAATACCCATTAGCCACATACTTTTTTCTATTTTAACTTCAATTTAATTTAAATTCCATTAAAATAGTAGCTCAGTAAATTAGACAAAGGAGACTGAAGAGAAGTGGGAGAGAAGAGGATAGGAATAGGAAAAACAGTTGAAAGAATCAGTCATTACTTTCCTATGTTTAGATATGAATACACAACTAGTGAAGCTCCACATCATGTACCACCAAAAGAATGGAATCTTAATTTCCAGGTATGTATAATACGTAAAAATACACTCTGCTGTCATTTATGTCCAAAAAGAATAAACAAAAAAATCATTTGCCATTGCATTAGGCTTGCCAAGTGCTCAACAGGTGCATGTGATGAGTGGCTATTGTGAAGCCCCTGAACAGGTGCAGAACCTTCCTATCTCCATGTATCTACATCCAAGGGTGCTCAAACAGAGATTTTTATTTCTTGAGCTCTCAATACAATTCTAGGTGATTACTATAAACATCATAATAGATTTCCACATGTATGTGCTGTATCTGTATCATTGAGCTAGAAAACAATCTTGGCAGAATAGAAATTTTTCACTCTGAAAAATACAATTCCAGAAACATGTTTTTTTTTTTTCTCTCCTTTAAATACACATCTAATCAGAAGGTTTCATGATGTAACAGCCAGTGAGGGGCAAAATGTTACATTTAACCTGACCCACCTAACCATATTATATATTAGGAATTGGTGTTCTACAATGGAAAACATATAACTGTAATTTAACATTTCCATATTTTTTTGCCTTTTAACAAATCCCCAAAGCTACCATTCATTGTCAACTTCATGACACAATTAATGCCTGTGATAGGTGAATAGATAACATAAGGATAATGTTATGATTTGT